TGAGAATCGAACCTAGTGCCTCACACATGCCAGTCAAGTATGCTACTGCTGAGCCACAGACCCAGCCCATCAAGTGGTTTTCTTTGAAGAAACAACTCCAGATATATTAACAAACACAATAAAGTCAGAAGGGGTAGTACATACCTGCAATCTCAATGATTTGGAAGGTGAGCCAGGAGGATAACAAGTTTGAGGCCAGCCTCAGATATTTAGTGAGGCCCTAACCAATTTAGTAATTCCCTGTTTCAAACAATAAAAAGGGATGGGGAGCAGTGATAAAGCACCCTAAGTTCAATCCCCAGTAACAAACAAACAAACACACCACCACCAAAGGAAAGAGATTGTCACATTCAATTAAAAACAAAACACAGAGCTGGGATTGTAGCTAAGTGGTAGAACACTTGCCTAGCATATGTGAGACACTGGGTTCAATTCTCAGCACCACATATAAATAAATAAAGAGAAATATATAAAGCTCAAGCATACAGAAATAAAGTATGAACAAAGTAAAAATAAGCTAGGCAAAAACTAAAGCTGGAGAGGTGTCATACCATTTATTAATATCAAACAAATGACTTCAAGTAAAAACCTATCAGTAACTGATAAGGTAAATGAATAATGATAAAAACCTGAATCTAACAAAGAATTTAAACATGAAAAACATGTAATACAAATAGAGCCAGGCACAGAAGTGCACATGTATAATCCCAGGGACAAGGGATCAACTTCACAGATGAAGATCAACTGTCCCAGATATGAAAGCTTGCTCAATCTACACTGTTAAGTTATATTGTAGGACTCTTAAGCCCTGACACTGTGGCTTCGGAGTCTTTTGCTCTGTATAACACAGCCTATGATTTCATTTCGGTTTAAAGTTCATAACAAAAACAAAAACAAAAATCCCTATTATACTTGGAAATTAAAAACTTCAAAATAACTCCTGAGACAAAGAAATTAAAATATACACATATATTTAACTTTTCAAAATGAATGATGATAAATACCGTACCTGAGAGGTAAAGGTAAATGTAAAAAAAAAAAAAAAAAAAAAAATCAATTACCAAGGCACAAAATGAAAAGTAAAGGCTCTATATTCAAACCTGTCTTTCTGCCAAAAAACATCTTAAATTTGGAGAAATGAAATAACAATATACATACTAATTACATTTGCTTAATTGCACTAAATATCTTGAACATCTTTAAAATAACTACCAACAAATCAATCTATCTATCTATCTATCTATCTATCTATCTATCTATCTATGGTACTGGGGATTGCAACCAAAGGTGCTTTACCACTGAGTCACATCACCCAACCCTTTTTATTTTATTTTGAGACAGGGCCTGGCTAAGTTGCCTAGGCTGCCTTCAAATTTGCAATCCTCTGGCCTCAACCTCCTGAGTTGGTGGGATTACAGGCATGTGCCATGGTGCCCTGCTCAGACTTCCTTTTAAAAAAGCTTATGTATCACATTCTAAAGGTTCTATTATGATCAACTTAACCGAACTCCCACTGATGATCATGTCAATGATTACTAGTTTCCATTTGTAAAAACAATGTTGCAGGGTTGCGGATATAGTTCAGTGGTACAGAGAGCACTTTCCTAGCATGTTAAACACCTGAGTTCAATCCCCAGACCCAGAAAACAAAAACAAAAACAAAACCATACAGTGCCTGTATACACTAGAAAGCAACGGCCTACCTTTCCTTTCACACTGCAACTCATGAAATTAGAGGTTTAGCAGTCCTGGTATGACTTTTACTATTTTCCCATTCATTCTATCTTTAAATCGGAATCAAACTATAGCTAAAATTTGAACTTTGTGACTGAGAAGCAGTTGTAAATTATTCCCTAGTATTGATCAAACTGTACCCTGAAAACACTTTTATGTGCTTGAGTGGCAGACTAGTTTTTATCTTGAATTTTGGTAAAGTCAACCTTATTTTGTTTCAGTTTAGGCTGCCTTAATTTATTCTATTACACTTGAAATCTAAGTCATGTTTCCTCCGAATCTGGGATGTAAAAACATACAACATACTATCAATTTTAGTGACATTAAAAATCAACTTTACCAATGTTAGCTTAAAAATATTTCATGTAAATCATCTACTTTAATTTTTATCATTTTTAACACAAAATATAGAAATTCTTCCATGAATTTTGAAGATATTCATTGTGGCTACATTGTAAAAGTTCTTATAATGCTCATTGCAAAAGAGAAAAACTTTCATTTACTTCTCAGTTATTAGATCTAACTTAAACTACACTATGGTTTCATTTTTTACAGTTAATTTTTCCTAGTTTTCCATAAAAGAAATTCTTGGTTCATCATTCTCTCAGTTCTGTACCTCTATATTTCTACTGCAATATGAATAAAACTTTGTTCAGCTTGACATCAATACCCTTAAGGCTCAAAACATGTATTTGACATATTAGTATAACTTAAGTTTTGTTTGACAAATGAATACTACCTTTAAGAGAATTGATTATCAAATGTTATTCTCTTTCTATATAGGAAATACTGCCTTTAAGAGAAAGTACCAATTCACAACCCCACCTAGAATCAACACCACCCCCCACTTTTAAACTAAGCATTTCTCTGGAAATATTATTAATTAATTATATTCTCACACTTTAATAGTTAAAATGTATCTGGAATACTTAAATGAACACAGAATAAATTTCCCTCAGATGTGTAGGACTGCTGCACATTTTTTCCCCTCTTTTTGGTGCTAGGAGAGAACCCAGGGCCTCGTAAGCATATGCTCTTTACCACGTATTCCATGCCCTGTTGTGCTATTTTTTATCTTCTGTGTAGCTCCTGAAATGTCTGTAATCCCAATTCTTTTTTAATCCTATGACTTGTGATGAATTTAACGATATGTTATACATGTCTTTCCGTGAAAAAAATATATGGTATTTAAAAATCATTTTTAAGGGGCTCAGTGGTAGACTGTTTGCCTAGCATATGTGAGGCACTGGGTTCATTTCTTAGCACCATATAAAAAAATAAATAAATAAAATAAAGGTATTGTGTCCATCTACAACTAAAAATATTTTTAAATTGACACAAATAGTACATCAGAACTTATTTCATCTAACTAGCTATAACTTGTACCTGTTGACTATGATGTTTTCCCCATTTCTCTCTCCTTCCTACTTTCCCTACCTTCTGATAACCTCCATTCTACTCTCAACTTCTGTGAGACCAGACCAGCTTTTTTTTTGGTACTGGGGGATTGAACTCAGGAGCACTCAAATACTAAGCCACATCCTCAACCCTATTTTGTATTTTATTTAGAAACAGGGTTTCACTTACTTTTGCTGAGGCTGGTTTTGAACTTGCAATCCTCCTGCCTTAGCTTCCCAAACTGCTGGGATTACAGGTGTGCACCACTGTCCCAGCTATGAGACGATACTATGTGATCTCACTCATGTGGAATCTATAAGACTGAGATTCCACATGAGTGAGATCACATAGTATTTTGTCTTTCTGTGCCTGCCTTATTTTTACTGAAAAGAATGGCTTCCAGTTTCACCCATGATGTTACAAAGGACAATTTCATCCTTTTATGTCTGAATATTCCATTGTATGTAAATACCACACTTTCATTAACCATTCATCAGTCAATACACACTTAGGTTGATTCCATTTCTTGGCTATTGTAAATAGTGCTATAATAAACACGTGATCCTAATTTTAAAAATCTTTGAATGAAAAGTATTTTTTTGTCTTTCTGGAATCATCTGATTATTTTGGATGTTTTCAAATTTTAGAACAATGTATCTTGGCATACTTTTCTGTTTTGTTTTTATTTTTAGTACTGGGGACTGAATCCAGGGGCTCTTTACATCCCCAGACCTTTCATATTTTGAGACAGGGTCTCACTAAATTTCTGAGGCTGGTCTTGAACTTACAATTCTCCTGCCTCAGTCTTCTGAGTCACTAGGATTAAAGGTGTGAGCCTGCATCCATCTTTTTTGTTTCTTTACATCTAATCTCAACTTTCAATCTGGAGTCCTGTGATTTTCAATTCTAAGATGTTCTCATAGTCTTTTCTTCACATTTAGTTCCCTTTCAACTTCTCTTCTTAATAGTTCTACTTTTTGGGACAATGAACAACGTGGATTGGTGTTTCAATTTCTTACCTCTTCTCTGCTATTGAACATCTCTTTATTTTTTTGATTCACCAATCACAAGAATCACTTCTTAGTATTTGTATTTAACTTGATCTCTCAAATTTCAGTACAGTGCCTCACTGTCTGCCCTCAGCTATGTGTAGTGTCCCTAAAATGGAATTTCTTTCATCCAATCTCACCTCAAAATAAACTTCTTTTCTTCTGCTAAGGTGAAGCATAAAACTGGTTATTTTAAACTCTTCACCTCACTTTTCTCTTCTATAATATATCATCTCTTCAGTTCTTGTATTTCTATACTCTTATGTTAGTGGGATTTCCAAGAAAAAGAAAAAACTTTCAGTTTGTCTTATTTAATTATAAGCCTTTCTATTTTTCTGTCTATAGAAATGACATGTAAATAATGCAGGACACAAAGCAACTTTCTGGTAGAAAGAAATAACCACAAAATGACTGATGACAGATCTTTCTCTGAAATAAAGTTTGATAAGGGGAGCACAGGAAGAACATGAAGATATTTAAGAGTACAAAGGTGAACATGGTAAAAAAACAAAACAAAAAATCACAGGAAAAAGACATACTACATTAATTCTGTCTTTATTTCTTTTCATTTCTTAGAAGTGATTATGTCAGACTGGGTATGTAGCCGGGTGGTGAAGCACTTAATATAGTAAGTGCAAGGCCCTGGATTTGATTCCTAGCACCACACAAAAACAACGAAGAGTCATTAATAAATTATTTCTAATCTTTGCTATATAACCCAAATCATGCACTAAACATAAGTCAAATGGCTGATGAATTTCAAATCTATAACTGACAAATCATGGCAATGAAAACAAAAATCCTTGTAAACTAACTTACTTGTATGGAGTCTGTCAGACCTCTGGAAAGACTTCTTCCCTAAGCCTAGTAAGGGACTTTCCACTTTAACTGAGGAAGAAAAGCTGGAGTTTGGATTCTGGGGGCTGCTTGACTGTCCATCAGATTGCTTTCCTTCCCATATTGCTAGGGAGAAAAATAAGAAAGACTAGAGGCACGGAGGTTATAAACAGAAATTAATTAATTAATCAATCATTCAATGTGAACTATAGGGAGTTATGTATGAGGAAATTCTGGCCCTGGCTAATGTGTTTTCAATCTGAGAACTGAAGTAAAAAAATAAAATCCTTTCCTTCCTCCTAACACACTTTCCATTTTTGTTGATAAGTCTCCTTTCTATTAAAAAAAGAAAAAAAAGCAAAGTTCTGCAAGACTCAGAATTTTTTTGGCAATTCTATAGAATAAGCTTATGGCATCAAACTGAATTATATAAGAAAATACAGTCTTTCAGTTAGTCCAGTTTAGATTAAAAACAAAATAAGCACAAAATCCAAAAGCCTATTGACATATCCAACAGAAACTGAAAGGTAGTATGTATAACCTCTTACTTTTAAGGAAGAGAACTGGTAAAGAGCTTATTTTGACTTTTTTTTGTTTGTTTGTTTCCTCCTGGAAACAAAAGATTTATAATGTTACTGACTGGGATGCTTCCAAGTATTATAGGTTAGAAATAGTGGAAATTAGTCTTGATTTATTTCGTACATACTAATCTTATTTATAAACTTTTAAATAACTGCATGATATTTTACAGAAAAACTCCTTTTATTTTACAAGAATTTATATTGATAATTTGGCAATACAGGGTCATATAAATAAATGTAGCAATTTAAGAATAAATTTCCAGATTTTAATAAGGAAAATATGAGACAACTTTTTAAATATAAATTTATAACACCAACATGAATACACTGGGATAAAGAAACTTCCATTGAAAAAAAATGCCCAAACTACCTACCAGGTTTGGCAGTAGCAGAATCACTGGATTTGACAGACTTGAGAGGAAGGTGTTGGTTGGAGGAGATGGACATGCTTGGTCTGCATTGCTGCTGCTGCTTCTTTTGCTGTTGTTGCTTTAAAGCCTACAAAGAGAAAACTGACTATAATACATAAATTAGCTTTTAGTAAAAATAAAAAGTAAAATGACTTCTTTTTAAATTGTAAGAAGAACGCTACTCATTATTCAATTTCTTTGAAATTTATCAGAGCAAATAAAACCTAAATTAGACAAATTAAACACAAGACGGCAATGATCCCTAGAGTTTGGTTACTTTTTGCCAGTATTATCCTTTATATATAATTGTGAGGAACAGCCAGTTGATATCTTTTAGAACTTAAAAATTCCCAGTAAGTCAAGGATAAAGGACTTAGGAATCTTATAAGAGAACTGTATATGTTTTACCATTTTTTTGTAAACAATTCTAAGCCCTGTACCAAGAAGAGCCCTATTTGCACCAACACTATAAAGAAATGCAAATATTCAACTTATTTATATGCTTCAGAGGTACTACATTTGAAAAAAAGGTAAATAACTACTTGAATTATCTTGGGAAAGAATATTGAGGCTTATTTCAATTTACCATATTTCAGCAATTTATAATAATGCAGTAAACAGAGGGGAAGGAAAACTAGAAAATAATAGTTAAAAGAATAGTATAGCTCCTTCTGGCTACTTGAGATTATTTTCATTTCTATGAGATTATTAATTTATAGACTAAGTAATACTATTTAGAATGAACAAAATCCAGGAAATTTCCAATTTTTAATGAGGAAAATATGAGACAACTTTTTAAATTAAGGTTGGGGGGAGGGAGGGAGACAGACAGGGTGATGGGGGATTATGAATGTGCATAAGAAAGCAATTTCCAGGTTTTCCGGGAAATGACTTTGTGTTATGGTTTGTATCTGGAATATCCCCCCAAAATCTCATGTTTTGAAAGCATGATCCCAACACAGCAAGGTTCAGAGGTAGCAATTTTAGGCAATAATTAAGGCTCTGAACCCATCAGTGGAGCATTAATATACTGACAGCTGAATGGACTAGTGGACTGTAAGCAGGTGGGGGCATGGCTGGAAGAAGTAGGTCACTGGGAGTGTGGCCCTAGACCATATCTGTCTCTCGTGGCTTCCTTCTCTCTCCTTCCCAGCTGCCATGAGCTAGGCAGTTTTCCTCTGCCATGCCATTTCTTCCTTGGAGTCAGTTGACCATGGACTGACACCTCTGAAACCATGAGCTAAAATAAATCTTCCTCTTATAAGTGGTTCGTATCAGGATTTTGGTCACAGCCACAAAAAGCTGACTTGCCCATTTTAAGCTTTAACCTTCAGGACCATCATGCAATGTTAAATAACTGGTTACTTCCAAGATGCTATAAGGCACAGTGGCAACCCATTGTCCATTCCAGGTTAATGCAAAACTTACCCCATCTATTTCTTCTGTGATCACGTAAATTCACAAACATTATGGAAGCAGAATCATTTATAGCCCATTAATTAAGAATTACACACAGTTCTTGTCCTACCTTAGTAGTTTACAAACTCTGTTCCTAATTCGATTTTAAAACAAATAAATACATAAACAACAAGAACCTCCTCATTTGTGGTAAAGAATAACAGTAATTATGATTACTATGAAAAACGTACACTGTAGACAAAGACTTAAGTTAACATAGCACACTGATTTCTACAAAGAAATCACAACATTTCATTCTTAAGATTACAAGAGTATACCAGAGTAGCATACGCGTCATTAATTAGTTAACAAGGATTGAAAAAAAATGCTTGCCTTTTCCCTGTAAAAAAAAAAAAAGAAGCACTTAAATTTCTTAAAATCTTTCAAAAATTTATAAAAACACAAATGCTACAGGATATTAATGCAGGCAGTAATCAATTTTATCAAATTTATGGATAGCTTTTCATAAAAGTACTTTTGGTTTAAATACTTTAAAATCTACATAACTTTAAAATTTTGTGTTACTTTTGATTATATACATGATACAAAAATACATTTTTAATATTAAATTCAAACTCAAAGCTAAATTCTTTTTTTGACCATCACTCCTGGTGTACAACCTCAAAGGTAACCAGTCATTGATTTGTTTTTCCCTACTGAACTTTTTTTCATATTTACATATATGTGTGTGCAATAAACATTCATAGTTCCATTAAAAACAGCATTGTTTTGTGGATATGTGTATATTTTTATAATTGGTATCATGCCCTATATACTGTAGTAAAACTTAATTTTAATGATTCAATATTATTTTGTGGTGATTTTTCCCTATGTAAAGTGTGTGCAACTCCATCATAAAATAAACCTCTTTTATATAATTGTCTACTTTATTGATATATGATTGCTTATTAAGGAATTTTCTAATATATATGTAAATTAGAAAATTTTAGATTTTATACATGTTTGTTAAGTCTATTTCCAAGTTTGCTATAATAAACATGTGTGCAAATACTTTTCTATATTTGTGTATGTATTTTTTCTAACATAAGTTTGAAAATAGTAAATTGCTTAACCATGGGGCATGTGCTTTCAAAATTTAATATATGTTGCAAAATTCCTTTCCAAAGTGGCTACAATAAAATATTCCACAAGCAAATCAGTTTTCCTGCACACTTGCCAATGCTTGATATAATTAAGCTCCTCAATTTATACCAGAGTCTGAAGACATAAGTAACCTGTCATTTTAAAGTCTGCCTAAATTACTATCGAGTTTATATTTATTGATCACTTGCATTTCAAAAGAATTAAAAGCTAGTTCTTTAAAAAGTTCAATAAGACACTGACAAGTGATACTGGGAAAAAAGAAGACATAGTATAAATGAACACCACTGAGAACAAAATGGAGACATAAAAGAGCACTGTGCACAACTTCATACCAGTATTTGAAAAAAAATTAGATGAAATGAACTGTTTTCTAAGTTTCCAAAATAGGCTCAAAAAAAAAAAAAAAAAAAAAAAAAAAAGTCAAGAGACTGTAAATAACAGTTTACATTGTAATATTAGGAAAATGATTTTCAGTATGACTTAATAAACCTAAGATCATTTCTAAAACTTTGTTCCAAAATCTAAAAAAAAAAAAAGAGCTACACAACTTATTTTATGATGCTAGAACAATCATGATTTCAAAACTGCTCTTGGATAGTATAAGAATACTATACAATCTAAACTACAATATTAATAAAATTTGGTAACATTAAAAAAATATGTAATGACCATGTAGAGTATTCTAGAGTTAAATAGAACATAATATTAGAAAATCTAGCTATGTAATTCAGATTAATGAAAAAAAATCTACCTAAACAAATTTAAATCATCTACATAAATTTCAAAGAAAACATACCTGAAAAATTCAATACCTATTCATGGTTAATACCCCACCACACACCTCACCCTCAAACTTATTAGCAAACTAGGAACAAGTTAGGAACTTCAAAACTGTGATAAAGAGTTATCTATTGAGCTGGGTTGGAGTTCAGTGGTAGAGTGCTTGCCTAGCACTTGTGAGGCACTGGATTTGATTCTCAGCACCAGAGAAATAAAAAAAAATAAAGGTCCACTGACAAATTAAAAATATTTTAAAAGAGTTATCTACCAAGGGGGCTGGGGTTGTGGCTCAGTGGGAGAGTGCTCACTTAGCATGCGTGAGGTGCTGGGTTTGATCCTCAGAACCACATAAAAGTAAATAAATAAACAAACAAATAAATAAATAAACAAACAGAATGGAGGTGTCATGTCCAACTACAACTAAAAAATAAATATTAAAAAAAAGATATATAAAAAAGTTATCCACCAAAAATCTCCAATGATTATTATACACAGAAGTACAAAAATTACTAGCACATAATTAAGATACTTCATAAAATTTTCCCTTTAAAAGGGTCTAATGTGGGCTGGGGATATGGCTCAAGCGGTAGTGCGCTCGCCTGGCATGCGTGCGGCCCGGGTTTGATCCTCAGCACCACATACAAACAAAGATGTTGTGTCCGCCGAAAACTAAAAAATAAATATTAAAAAATTTCCTAAATTAAATAAATAAATAAATAAAAATAAAAGGGTCTAATGTGGGGCTGGGGTTATGGCTCAGTGGTAGAATGCTTGCCTAGCATGTGTGAGGCACTAGGTTTGATTCTCAGCACCACATACAAATAACTAAAGGTCAATCAACAACTAATAAAATATTAAAAAATAGGGACTGGGGTTGTGGCTCAGTGGTAGAGCGCTTGCCTGGCATGTGTGAGGCACTGGGTTCGATCCTCAGCACCAAATAAATAAATAAATAAATAAATAAATAAATAAATAAATAAAATAAAGGTCTATAAACAATTTAAAAAAAAATTAAAAAAAAGTAAAAGGGTCTAATGTAAAAGCTCTCAAGGAACTTTCAATAACTTCAGAATCATGCACTGCTACTGTGTGAGATCATCCTTCTGATACACAGACTAGCAATGCTTACCTGCTTTAGTGCCTTCTTGCTGTGCTTCTGTGATGGAGAAATGACTTTACCTGCTGGAATGGTGGGCGATGGGCAGCCTGAATGTGGGGAGGATGGCTGTGACAGTCTAGACGATACTGAGGGAAAAAGTGACAATGAAAAATTCTGTTGTCAGCATTGATATCAAGCACCATTCCTTCCCCAGATTATATGCTACCTGTGTTAAGAACTGTGACCAAACACTTTTGGAAAGGATCTTCTTTTTGTAGTTCTACTGCAGCCTCCCTGTTCATTTATTTCCTCAGAAAGCTCTAATGAAGGGTGACAGGATGGGGAAAGGATGGGTGTTAGTATGCATTAATTTTCATTCTTTAAATTTTCAATAGAATTAAAGCAGCAGGAAGTAAGAGTATAAATCACGAGTCATCAAATTAGATAGAAGGTAGAAAAGATCCTAGGATGCTCTGGATAGTACCTATATTCTAAAGTAAGCCTGAAGATGAATTATGACGACAGGATACAGGGGGAAGTCTTAAACTGACAGTTTAAGACAAAGGCAATAAGGCCATTCCATCTGAAAAACTCTTTCACAGTTTTAAACCTTACACTCCTTCATTTCTTCAATCAATGGTAGTTTAAAGCTTATCAATATGAGATGCCATTTGAAGACTTCTCTAATGGAAGGAATGTAAATGTGTACAGGATGTAACCACTTTCAACTAATGAAGACTAGTTGTTCTACGTAGCCTGTTGAAGCCTGGCCGAACCCAAGTCATACATGAAGGAAGGTACTTGCTTTCAAGAGCCTATATTTCTTATAAAAAAAAGAGCACTTACATCTATCTTTATTTTTTTTAAAATTTGGCAGGATGTTAGTTCTGTTTATGTTAAGGAAGAACACAGAAATAGCTGATTCAGACTTGTTAAAGAAAAAGAAGGAAAAAAATGAGAGAGAAAATTATAAACATATTTCTTAGGGATGACTCCTAAAAGTCACATTTACTAACATCTTCTTCCTTTCAAGATAGGCATTGTTGGCAAAATGACATCCCATGTTAAATCCCATAAGCTTTAAGATATCATATATTTATTGGCAGGTAGCTAACAAGAAAATTGAGTACAGTTTATTAGAATATGCAAGTTTGGAATACAGCATTTCAATTTACTTAGATTTCTCAAGAAATACACAGTAGATACACTTATAGAAGATAACAGTAACAACATTAAGAAAATTTAGCGCTAGTTTTGTATCCCAACTTTTATAAAAAGGCTTATATATGGGAAAGAGTTGATGTACAATAAACTTGATATTAAAAAACCCAAATTATTCAGTGCAACATATCATATAAAATAAAACTGGATAACTTTGGAAATAGCTGAGCAGCAAAAAGAAATCATATCCTCAGTGTACTCTGATGTTGATCAATTTTTGGAAAATAGCAGCTTTACTGAGATGTAATTTACGTATTATATATTTTAAGGTATAAAATTTAATGACTTTTAGTACGGTTATCACCACCATCAGTTTTCATCACTGTCCACACCCACCCTCTCAAATGTCATAACTGCTAGCTATCATTCTTCTTTCCCTCCCCTGATGCCCTCAGGCCTAGGCAATTATTTATCCACCTTCTGTCTGTATGGATTCACCCATTCTGCATGTTTCATGTAATGAAATCATAAAATATGTGCTTCTTGTGATGGATTTTACACAAAGCACAATGTTTTGACTACTCTTCTACATTATGACATGAACATTTCAATCCTTTTTATTGTTGACTAATATTCCAATGTGCATATGCTGCATTTAAAAAAATAATCAGCTGATGAACATCTGAATTGTTTCTACTTTTTGGCTATTATGAATGATGTTATGAACAATATTCATGTGTAAGGTTGGTTGATTTGTTTTTCTTGTGGTACGTTGGATTGAACTAAGTATTTTCAGTATACTAGACTAGCACTCTACCACTGAGCTACATCCCCAGGCTGTTTTAATTTCATTTTGAGACAGGGTCTTGCTAAGCTGCTCAGATTGTATTTACAATCCTGTTGCCTTAGCCTCCTGGGTAGCTAAGATTATAAGGGTGTGCCACCATGCCTATCACATGTGTAAGTTTTCACATGTACTTGTTTTCAATTCCCTTCACTTTATTTCTAGGAATGGAACCGATGGGTCTTACTGCAATCCTATTCTCCAAAATGTCTGCTCTTATTTTATGATGCCAATGGGAAAGCACGAAGGTTTCACTTTCTCTACATCCTTTCCAACACTTGTTCTTGTCTTTATGTATTCCTCACCTCCCCCAAATACTGTTTCATTATAAACAGAAAACCAACCAATCAACCAACTAAAATAATGGCTTCAGAAAGTAAAATTAATCTACTTGGTAGCCTGGAAATGAGACAATAAAGATATCTGTAGTTACCAGGATAAACTGACTGAAATGTTCCCCCTTAAGGCAAAACACTTTCTAACAAATTAAAACCACAAGCTTACCACTAAGCCAACTGAAATAAAAAATGAGAATTGTAAGACTTATCAGTAAGAACTACTTCCAGAGTTGACTTTATGCCAAGTATTGGTCTCAACTTCTATGAAACACTGTTCTAACTTTTTAAATATTAAAGGCTCAGAATTACAAACAGCAAATAGGACTTAGGCACATGTTGAAACCCTTGTGTCTCCAAATTCCTTTTAGAGGCTAAACTAAATGTCTTTGAGGATACAATTTTATTAAGAATAGTAACCAAGTACTTCTGTATACCTAAAACTGTCCTGGGTTGATTTTAACAGGATTTCACTGAACTCACATAACTACTCTCTAAGGTAGACACAAGTTCTTTTTCTATTTACTACTCCAAACCCTCAAATTCTACTTTCAGAAATAACTAAATAATCTGATTTTTTATCATCCTTACGTTTTTCTATAAAAATACAGAGTCAAGTTCTGAATTTTATTTCAGAATAATGAATAAGTACCTGCAGTGGGCTGATAATGGTGGCCACCAAAAAGATATGTCCACATCCAATTCCCAGAGCCTGTGAATGTTACTTTATTTGGGGAAAGGGTCTTGGCAGATGCAATTAAGTATCTTGAGATGAGAAGATCAACCTGGATTATCCAAGTGGGTCCTAAATCCAACAACAAAGTGTCTCTATAAGAGATACATAGAAAAGACAGACACAGAGAAGAAGGCCATGTGAAGACAGAGCCGGGGACTGAAATAATGTGGCTGCAAGGCAAGTTAGCAACCACGAGATGCTAGAAAAAGCAAGAACAGATTCTCCTTAAAAGCTTCTGTAGGGAGAACGGCTCCAGTGACATCTTGCTTTCAGACACTGGATCTCCAGCCCTGAGCAAATAGATTTCTGATGTTTAAGCTACCCAGTTCATGGTAATTTGCAGTCTTAAGAAATTAATACAAGTACCTAAAACTAATGAGTTTATTTTTCAAAACTATTTCATTTTTAACTCAGATGTTTACATATTTAAAATTAAATCAAAAACTATTATTAAAAATTTGGTACTGAAAACATCTGATTTTGAGCTACTGGGTGCTCCATGAAGTTGTAAACTACCTTTGAGACTTGGTCCTGCAGTATTTAATTGCTTTCTGGCACAAAAAAGGAAAGTCCTTAGCAAATCTTGCACATTTTTTCCTCAAACCTGGATCAGCTAATTGTCCCACAGAGTACTAGTATTATTTAATTAGAAACAGTATTGAAAGCTAGGTTTAGTGGTCCATGCCTGTAATCCCAGTGACCCAGGAGGCTGAGGCAGGAGGATTCCAAGTTTGAGGTCAGCAAGGGCAACTTAAGACTCATCTCAAAATAAAAATAAAAAAATTAAAAGGGTTGGGAATGTAGCTCCATGATAGATCCCCTAGTCCAGAAAACAAAAACAAAAAGCAGGGGATGGAGGGAAGAAAATAAAAGAAACAGCATTCAAAAACCACACTCTGCATGTTAGATGTGTTCACTGTTACTGGGTTACCAGTGGTTCTAGGACTTATCAATGGTTGGAACAGAAAAACAAGTCTTGTTTTAGAAAGAGAAAAGTAAACTCAAGCTTAGATACTAAATTTTAACATAAGAATACAGGGTTGTCATTTTTTAATTTTATATTTCTATCCCTCCTGATAATTCTGGTTCTTGGTAATATAATTATGTTGTTTCTACTACAGATGTGGTTTCAAAGGAAGCACACCAATATAATTTCCAAAAATAAAGACTAATGAATGCAGTTTAAGGTTTGTGTCTGAAATCCTACACCTAAAATATATCCATAGTCATCTATGTATGTCATTATACAACAAATGACATATTTCAATTTCCTATTTCTAGAAAGTACATTTAAAATGTTAATTATGTAAAGCTATAAAACAATTGCCTGTCTTATTAAGTCTAGATCCCCTTCCCTGATTACGCTTCTCTTTCCCTATAGAAAAATCACTTTTATTAGTTTTATTTTTCCATTGTTTATTTCCATTTTTGCTTTTCTTGGGTGGAAATATGTACAGATAACACTAATTTTTTAAAATTAAGAGTATTAGAGTTATACATAGTAGGTCGGTTCATTTTGACAAAAATCACAATACATGGACTTTGATTTATTCCATTTCAGTCCCTGTTCCCTCCCGCCTCCTTCCTCCCCAATTCTCCTTCCTCTATACCACTGATCTTCCTTTTGGTCATTTATTTATTTTTGATTGGTGCTTTGTATATATACATAAAAATAGAATTCCCTGGTTACACTAATATTTTTATTTATTTCTTTTGAAAAAGAGATCAAGCTGGGCATGGTGGTGCATGCCTACAACCCTAGTGGCTCAGGAGGCTGAGGCAGGAGGAATGCAAGTTCAAAGCCAGCCTCAGCAATGGGGAGGCAGTAAGCAGTGAGACCCTGTCTCTAATAAAATACAGAAAAGGGATGGGGATGTGGTTCAGTGGTTGAATGAATGCCCCTGAGTTCAATCCCCAGTACCCACACCCTACCAAAAAAAAAAAAAAAGAGAGAGAGAGAGAGAGAGATCAAATATTAACTTCTCAGCACTTTTTCATTTATTCTGTCCTGGAGATAGCCTGGAACATCATCACTCACTAAAAATCTATTAGAAATGAAAGTTATTGGGT